AAGCGTTATCTTTGTGCACCACCTACGAGCGTAACAAGTGAACGTCTTTTTAGTACAGCTGGAAATATCTTCAGTGAGACAAGAAGCTGCCTCAATGCTGACAACATGGAAGGATGTTTTTTTTTTTTTTCTCTTTCGAAAGCTAATGCCACTTTCATGGATTAACTAAGCTGTCGATGACAATTTACAAGTTTAGTTACTTGTTATAAAACAAAGAATACTTTCATTCCTAGGTATTAGTTACCACAGACTGACTGACTCAAGAATGCAAAACATGAAATGTTTTTAAATGTTTTCTATTCTGTACTACATTTTGTAAAGTAAACTTCCAGTGTACATTTGACATTATGGATGTTTTTTTTTTTTTTAGATCTATTTTATACACTGTACGAAAATGGAAGAATGGGCCTCCGTTTGAATAATGGGGAGACAGAAGTAATGGTGGTATCAAATAAAATAATTATTCCTAAATGGTGGGGGGGGGGAACAACTACAGAAATTTAGATATCTGGGCCACACAAAAAAAGGCAACCAAGAGGTTTTAGAAAGAGGCTGGAGCTGGAAGACAACTACTCACAGACATCAGAAGGAGACAGTCATCATTTTTCTGCCATGTTATAAGATGAGGGAAAATGGAACATGTGGTGACCACTGCAAAAATATGTGGAAGAAGGGATAGAGGAAGACAACTAGAAAAGATTCTTGACAGTCTTGTTGCATGGCATGGAGGTGTGTCAGCACACGAACTAATACATGCTGCTGGAGATCGCAGATTGTGGCGAGGCATAATCGCCCATGCCAGTCGGTAAGCCACCTGATGATGATGATTCACTATTCGTATTCGTATTCCTATTCGGCCGAATAGTTGGTTCAGCTATTCGTATTCGGCCGAATAGTGAAAATCACTATTCGGTACAGCCCTAATTAAAACATCTATTTTGTTTTCTTTTCACCACAAATAATGTCATTAAATTGCATGTCAGTGTCTACAGGACATATATTTGCAGCCAGTATCAAAGCTGTCGTAGGCGTACTGACCAATGTCCACAGACATCATGTCAAACAAAAATACGTAAAAACTGAGAAAAAAAAACAGCTTTCTCGGAGCCGAGAGGATTAGGTCGCGTCCGTCACATTGCAGAATTTAAAAAAAAAAAAAAAAGTAAAGATCCCTTTTCACGCCTTTCGGCGCATCGGTCATATGGGCAGAGCGTCCCATATTTTTACAGACCATCAGCACTCTGTGGGTAATGTGGTCAGTATTACGCCGGCTGTCTTTACTTTCCCGGGACAGCCCATCCTGGTAACCATTTTAGGCTGGGTCGACCTGCGACGTCCCATACCACGATAAAAATCCACGCAGCCCACGCAGGTTTCGATCGCTGGCTTACGAGTCGGACTCGCAACGCCTTAGCCACGGACGCCGCATTGCAGAATTAGTGAGGCTTTATGTGGCTCAAGTGAGCCACAATGAAAGGATTAGTTACAGAAAGTGAAGTGTGATTGTGACCCTGAGACCACAAGGCAGGGAGTAAGCTGCAGGATATCCCAAAGAATAAGTCAGGTTGGTGAGAGATGGGTGAAGGTCTATGCTCCATCGGAAGACAAAGGGCACAAGAAGATGAAGAGAATAAGGACTAGAAGAAGAATGTGGAAGAAGAAGTGGGGCATAATGAAATATAGGTGAGAGGAGAACGAAGACTGACGCTGATGAACTGTTGTAATTGGAGTGGTAGTGGTAAAATACTGATTGCCACTGCAACAAAAGCTCCTGCTACAACTAATAATATAACTACAACTACTGACACGACCACCAGCACCAGCACCAGCACCACCACCACCACCACTATTACTACTGCTGCTGCTGTTGCTGCTGCTGTTGCTGCTACTGCTACTACTACTACTACTACTACTACTACTACTACTGCTACTACTACTACTGCTGCTGCTGCTGCTACTATATCATTACTGTACTACTGTTACTACCACCTCCAACACCACTACACAGTTAGTACTACTGTTTCTTCTTTTGTCAAAATCTGCTTATGTCACTAGGCCTAGCAGTTTATCAGACAATCGGTCGCTTGATATGTCGTGACATTATGCTTTACCAAGGTGTCATTGACTCCTTCAATTGCGTCTTGATGTTTCTTTTTTCAGGCTGTTGCCACTACCACTACCACGACCACGAATACTAGTAATAGTGTTTCTGTCATTACCACTACTACTATATCATTACTACTACTATTACTACTACTAATACTGCTATTATTACTAGACCATTTTTACGACTACTGCTATTACTATGTGTACTACTACTATCACCACCACCACCACCACCACCACCACCACCATCACCATCATTTTCACTGCTACTATACCCCTTCTACTACAACCCCTACCACCGCCTCTGCTATTATTATTACTACCATTACATCTGCTATAGTATATGTAGTAGTGTTTATAGCTCACAAACTCAAAACCTCTCTTGTCGTTTCAGAAAAATGGAAGCTTGTGTTACCGAGGAATGCCGCACAAAAGTCCCAGGGAGAAGTTTGTTCTGCCAGGAAACATCCAGGCGCTGTGTGACACCGAGTCTGATGGTGGAGGTTGGATAGTGCTTCAGGTAATTACCCCTTCTTTTAATCAAGTTGTCTGCATATCTTTTCTTCGGAAATTGATGTTTGTTATGACTCTATTCCAGCACGAATTACGGTCAGGTATTTTGTTCCCCCTTAGAAAAGAAATGATGCCGGTACTCATCCTAGTGTCTATTGCAGTAGCGTGCATACTTTTAACATATCCTTCAAAGATCCAGAAAGCATGCTGAGGAAAGTGAGGACAGGCATGCTTCGTGCAGAGTGGCAAGCTTCGATACTGAGCTCACGGATGAGGAGTATTGTCTGGATCTTTTCACAGGAGTGACGCCAGTGTGTTGGTAAATGAGCAGACGGATAGACTGGTTGGTTTTGCACAACTTGGTGAAATAGTGATATATGGTTAGGCAGACCGGTTAGGTTCTTATGGGAGAGCGTGTTCAGTTCAGAGGAGCAAATAGATCACCACAGTCTGGTGTGAATGATGCTGCGGGGAGTGACAATAGGTTTTGGTCTATACACGACCTTCAGAGAAAAAAGCAAAGACGAACGTGTAGTCAGAACGCTACTGGCACAACTAGTATTGGAACTCTGCACTCATGCTAAAGAAAGGAACCGAGCGCTTGTGGAAATGTCGGTTCTTGAATCAACTCAGCACTCTACAAAGATCCATCATCTTCTCTAGACCGCTTCTTGCTTTTGATATACAATATAGAATGAAACCATCTAGCAGTCATTATTCATGACTCCACACATTCTCAAGGATTGAGGTTAACAAGAGGAGGTCCAATCATCTTGATGATTTAGCAGTGTTGACGCTAGTTGGATGTTAATTTAGTTGACAGCGGTAAAAGGAGAGATGATTTAGTTTAGTCAGTTGCATAAGGAGAGATGAATTATTTGACGTTGAATGTATAAGGAGAGATGATTGAGTTTGCGTTGGAGGAATAAGCAGAGAAGATTTAGTAGAATTTGGAGGTATAAGTAGAGATGATTTAGTTGAAGTTTGATGTAAGGAGAGATGATTTAGTTGAAGTTATCCTCCGAATAACAGCCACATATTGGCGGCCACAAACACACCCTGACAGGGCCTTAGTCACATGTAAATTGCGAACTTTCGGCGACCTAAATTTTTGACTTCCTGTGACTACCGCCACCGCCGAGAGTATCTCCCACAGCTTCCGCATCTCCTGCAGCTTTGCTCGTGAGTCCCAGCCATCTAGTTTAGCCCCGGAAGATACTCTTGGCGAGGCGATAGTCACCGAAAGTCTACAATTTACAAATGACTGAGGCCCTGTTTTTGGCCGCCATAAAATGTGGCCATTGTTCGGAGGATAGCCTTTTTTAATTTTTTTTTAAATATAAACTATATGGTACGAACTATGTTGTTGTCTAAACTACACATGTGTATTTTGTTGTTTCCAGTACTTATACTATGATTGACCTATACATGTCTGTATTTTATTCTCTTCAATCGATGGTCATCTGACGCCTTGTCTCCATTCCCGCCCTCAGAGACGTGTGCGAGGAGATGTAGTCTTCTATAGAGGCTGGGGTGATTACAAGAGAGGGTTTGGAACCCCAGACACCGACTTCTGGATTGGAAACGACCTTATTCACGACCTCACCTCACAGGTAACTGCATTACTTCTTGTTTCTCATTGAATGAATTTCCTAGGATTGATAATATGGTCACGGTTACAATGAAACCTGCAAACGCGCACAACAAAACTCTGTCCTTCTCATTCGTTTTCTCCTCCTTCTCTGACTTCTTCTTTTTTTCTTCTTATCCTGTGTATACTTCCTTCGCCCCCTTCCTCGTCCCCTCCTTCTTCTGTATCTCCTTCTTCTTCTTCTTCCCCTCTTTCCTATCCATAACCTCCTTCTTCTTCGTCTTCTCCTTTTTCTACTCCTCCTCCTTCTTCTTTCTCTGAGAACATTATCTCTTCCTCTTTCTTTTCCTCTTTCTTGTGTTCATCCTCATTCCTCTCCTCCCCGTTCTCTCCTTCTCCTTTGCCATACTTCTCCTTCCTCTTATTATCGCCTTCTCCTTATCACTTTCTCTAGCTTTCTTGTTCATTTTTTTTTGGGGGGGGGGGGGGGGTTCTTGTCCTTCTTTCTTTCTTCTTCTTCTTTCTTTCTTTCTTTCTTTCTTTCTTTCTTTTTCTTTCTTCTTTCTTTCTTTCTTTCTTTCTTTCTTTCTTTCTTTCTTTCTTCTTCTCTTCTTCTTCTTCTTTTCTTCTTTTTCTTTCTTTCTTTCTTTCTTTCTTTCTTTCTTTCTTTTCTTTCTTCTCTTCTTCTTCTTTCTTTCTTCTTCTTCTTTCTTCTTCTTCTTCTTCTTCTTCTTTCTTTCTTTTTCTTTCTTTCTTTCTTTCTTTTTCTTTCTTTTCTTTCTACTTTCTTCTTCTTTCTTCTTCTTCTTCTTCTTCTTTTCTTCTTCTTCTTCTTCTTCTTCTTCTTCTTCTTCTTCTTCTTCTTCTTCTTCTTCTTCTTCTTCTTCTTCTTCTTCTTCTTCTTCTTCTTCTTCTTCTTCTTCTTCTTCTTCTTCTTTTTCTTCTTCTTCTTTTTCTTCTTCTCCTCCTCCTCCTCATCAGTAACTCTATTGTAAGCTAGTTTGACTTGATGCACGAGACATTAAAACACATTTCTCATCATTTATTATATCCTGTAATTTTTTTCAGGGCTACAACGAATTCCGCGTCGATTTTGTCCACTCCAACAGGGAGTACTTTGCTCAATACACCAACTTCACCATTGGCGATGAGTTATCTGGATATCTCATCCGGATTGGTGGATATTCCGGAAACGTTTTTGACGCCATGAACTATCATAACGGCTACAAATTCAGCACTTTTGACAGGGACAATGATCTAAGCGGCAGCAACTGTGCTGTGCTGTTCCACGGAGCATGGTGGTACAATGCGTGCCAGTACTCCAATCTGAACGGGGCGTGGGCAGTTGCAAACACAACGGGCATTTCTTGGCGTTTTTCAGTCAATGATTCCTTGATGAACCTTTCATTTACTGAGATTAAGGTCAGGTATAATAAGAGGTGAAATCGTTTTCCCTAGAACTGCTACTAACTGTTTGTGCACATAAGTTGTCTGAATGTTTTCGTTCTATTATTTTCGTCTTTACATATTTCTCATTTTGACGTACAGTTGACCTCAATTCACAAAGCCTGCTGTATGTTTATGCTGGCTCAAGGGTTAGATCGACAGGCACTCATGGAGGAGACATGAAAAGTTTATTTAGTGTCCGGTACAAAAGTAGAAGGGCTCGCTCCCATGCCTTCAGACGTATTAAGAATAGAGGGCTTGACCTATATTTTTATAGACCAATCAGCACTTGGTGGGTGATGTGGTCAGCATCACTCTGGCTTTCTTTACTTTCCAGGACTGCACCTGGCACCCGATTAAGGCTGCCTCGACTTGTGAGTCAATGTCATTTTTGAAGTAAATAAACGTCCAGCTTCGTCAGGGCACGAACCCACGACTTTCCGATCCGCAAGCTGGCGTCTAGCCGCCAATGCCACGTCGACGCCCTTAGTGTCCGGGGATGTGGGTGATTTCTCTCGGGGCATGATGGCAGACTCGATAGAGAGGCAGAAGCCAGAGTTCTATAACCTCTTCATGTTGCTGTTTACAGATAAGGCATTCACAAGTGATCTTCATTGCTGCCGGTCTGCTGCTTTTCTGCCCATGGTATCCCATGTAAGTTTACATTCCTTCATGTCCCGTTCTATTGTCCTTCTCCAGGTTTCCGTAGGTCGTCCACGTCTTCTTTTCCCATCTGCTGACCTCTGGAGAGCTATTTTTGCCAGAGTGTGACAAGATATTCTGCAAACATGTTCAAGCCATCTCCATCGTCTTACTTTGATAAAATTTGCTAGTGATGCGTATTCTGTTTTCCTCTTCAGTTCTTTATTTGTGATTTCGTTTGGCCAAAATATTCATAGAATTCTCCTCAAACATTTATTTTGAAAAGTCTCAAGTTTATTTTTAATTCCAGCATTCATTGTTGTATAATAGTATTCGTAAAATGTTGCTCTGGTATATTTTGAGTTTTGTCTTCAAACTAAATCTCTTTTACTTCCATATATTGTTAAGCATGGTAAATGCTTGATTTGCTTTGTTTATTCTTGATGTAAACAAATTATTTATAGCATAGTCGTCCCTACTTTTTTCTATCAGTGCCAATCATAAACAATGAAATGGGCACTAGAACATAAAATAACTACATGTGAAATGTGCCGTCTCCGCAAAGTCACAAACAACACAAGAAGAGACCAGGTATACGAATACCAGCATAAGATAGTAAGCTGGAATAAGACCATGTCTGAATTATATTGACAGACAAAAAATAAAATGGCCACCTAGTGGGAACCAGACCAGACTGCATATGAGACATTTAACAGGAAGGCGACGGGGAGATCAAGGAAGAGATAAATAAATGGTGTAGCTTAGAGCTGCAAAAAAGATGAACAAATTAATCACCGAAGCCACCCGAGAAGCGCAACACAAATACAGAAAACTGTGATATTGGACCACGACCTAGTATCAGTGAGACGACAAAAGAAGAACTGCGTCTTTGAAGTCACTTGAAATACTTTCGTAAAGAGTTTATTAACCTCCTGGATTAGAGGAATCGTGTAAGGGAACAGGAATGTCACTGTGGTAAAACCCAGTCCTCCATCAGCGTGTCCACCAAGCATGAAAGAGACAGGGAGATCAAGAGAATCGTCTAAGAAAATCACGGAGGTGCTCATTACTACAGGAGTCTGCTACAAACGAAAGTCACCATTTCTCCACAGTCTTAACAGTAAAATACGTGATTTCAAGACAGGCTGTTCAATAACAGAGGGTTTTGTCCTGAATTTAGACGTTTGTACGAATTATTGTAGAAGGGCGTCGTTGGAGAAGGAGGCTTCATTTGTATTTTAAGTTTTATTCAAAATGTAGATTTCACTGTAGACAAATACAAGTTCATTGAATGTAATCTCATTGTTTTATCTGAAATTAACCCAGTGAACTGTGACTAAAAGGCTAAGCAAAGGGGGGAAAGGAGAACAACGTGTATGAAATAGACAAATAGACGTTTCGGCCGAGGCCTTTCTCGACACCAACTAACTACACAACAATAACAAAGGGGGGTTGTTAGATGTGGGGGGGGGGGGTGGTGGGGTGCACCAACCACCAGCGGGTCACGTGAAAAATGATAAAATAATAGGAAAATAAAAAAGGTGATGTGGGGTGAATAAAATGAAATAGAAGACAGAAAGGCTCAAACTTAGTCATACAAGTAATTGGGATAGTGTATATAAATAGTCGAAATAAAAAAAATGTCAATGATACCTAAATTGTACCAATAAGGGATAGAATAAAATAATAATCTGAATTGTGGATTTTGTTCTTCTTATGTGGCGTTAGTAGTTTTGTCTATTCCTGGCCTTCCATCTCGTGTGTTACCAACAATATCGAATCATCAACATCATGTAGCAGGTCCTTTGCAGAACGTCGCTCTCATCACAGTCTGCCTGAAAGAAAACTCGGTCTCTCGCCAGTTCTCCTGCCTCATATACTTTCATACTCAAGGAGTCACTTATATCCTGTGCCCATCTTCGTGTCGGTCGGCCCCTGCCCATCCTTCCTGGTACCATGCCTTCTGCTATAGTTTTTTCCAATCCGTTGTGGCGCTTGATATGACCAAAATATTTCAGCTTCCGAGAAAGGATGCTGTTTATTAGCCATTCTTCCTTGATGTTCAGATCTTTTAAGATGTCAATATTTCTCCTCTTTTTTGTGCAAGATATTCTGAGAATCTTTCTATAGCATTTCAGCTCAAAAGCCTCTATTCTCTTTCTTAAGGAATAAGAGATGGTCCACGACTCACATCCGTATGTAGCCACAGGGAAGATGCATGCTCTCAAAATTCTAATTTTTATCTCCTTGCTAGTGCTTAACCATAGACTTTTAAGGCTGTTCAATCTTTGCATTGCCAAGGCCTTCCTCCTTTTAATTTCTGTCGAACAGTCTCCATTGCCGATTATTATAGATCCTAGATATTCAAAGTTTGTGACATTTTCAATTTCTTCATTATTTATTGTTATTTTTGGGTGACAGCCAGTTTTATCTGTGGACATTATTTTTGTTTTCATTAAATTCAAGAACAGATTTTGATCTTCACTGTGCTTTTGGACAGACAATATTAAATTTTCGATTCTTTTTACGCTGTTCAAAAGGAGGACTGTGTCATCTGCGTAGCGGAGTTCCGGAATAGGGTTGCCACCAATTTTGAGCGGATCATAACTGTCACAAGTCTGGTCATTTTTGACATTTCTCATTATATTTTCTGAGTATATATTGAATAGGAATGGTGAGAGAATGCACCCCTGCCTCAAACCCTTTTGCACCTCGAACTAATTAAAAGTTTCATCAGCTGCTCTGATGGCTGCTTGTTGTTCATGATAAAGATTTTCAATTAAATGCACTAAATGCGCTGGAAACCCCATACTTTTCATAATAGTCCACAATTTGGGGTGCTGGACACAATCAAATGCCTTGCTATAATCAATAAAACAAGCATGAAGATCTCTGTTGTATTCTCTGCATTTTTCAAAAATTATTCTCATAATAAAGATGTGATCCCTAGTTCCTCTACCCTGTCTGAAACCCGCTTGTGCTTCATCTAGCTCATATTGTTGTTTCCTTTCAATCCTTTTCATGGTAATTCGTAAAAGAATTTTGCTAACATGACTTATTATTGCGATGGTACGGTAGTTGGAGCACAGTTTCAGATTTCCTTTCTTTGGGAGAGGAATATAGACTGTTCTTTTCCAAGCTTTAGGCCAAATGCCACTGTTCCAGATCTTCGAGCACAGTGCATGGTAGATTCGGAAGCTGGACTCTCCTCCTGCTTAAAGTAGTTCTGCTGGTATTTCGTCGCAACCTGGTGACTTTCCTTTCTTCATGCTGTGTATTGCAGATCGTACCTCATCCAGTAATGGCTCTGGTTCTTTTTCATAACTTTCACAAGTCGTTTTTAAATTACTTGTCACATCCTCATACATTTCTCTACAGTATTCTTTCCATCTTTCTAATATGTCTTTGGTTTCCGTTAATGTGTTACCGTTTTTATCACTTATTACATGAAAATTACACATATTACACTTATTACAAGATCGAATACCAAGTGATAAAATACTAAGGAAACAAGTCGATGGCGTTGTCTTCTTCTTTTTCTTCTGTTCTTTTCTTCTTGCGAAACGATCTTGTTGTTCGACCACTTCTGGACTGCAGTCCTGTTTCAGAACCTGAGTGTTGCGTATGCCTCCGTTTGACAGATCTAACTCATTTTGTGCAGACTGTTGGTTCCTTGCCTCTCAGTCAGATGCACTCCGACTTCGAAGGAAGTTGGTGTTGTGATTTTGTATAAGAATTTCATGTGTAGAAACCCAATAAAAAGGAGTTACTGGCAACTGCACAAGTGTGTAGTTCACCTCTTAAATTAAAAAAAAAAAAAACAAAAAAAAAAAAAACAAACAAACAAACAAACAAACAAACAAAGACGCATGATATTTTTGAAAGATACCAAGAGAAAAGATGGGGGAAACAAGCGGGTGAAATATTGGGTACCAGAGGTAGAGGAGAACCATAATGTGTGTGGAAGGCTTGAACAGCTGCCATAATAATTGTCTTTGCGTCAACCAGCTGTAAACTCTGGCAGAAAATTCTGGTTGTTCGTGAAAATCGAGGAACGAACATTCAGCATGCAAATAAACTAGATCTGTAAAATGGATATGCACGCAAAACTCAAGTTCTGGAACAAAACTAAGGTCCAGAAGTGGACGAACAACCAGAACTTTCCGTCGGGGTTTGTACAGCCGGTGAAGGCAAAGAAGAAGAAAACGTTACTGTTGGGAGGAAAATACATTCTCAGTTTGCACAGTTCATGACCACTGCAGAAGGCTTGCGGTCCTAAATCTTCAGCTAAATCCACGTTCGTTATGGCGATTCTGTTTCTTCTTTCTACGAGGCGTCACATGTTTTAACTGTTC